GATAATTATATATGTGCTGTTAATGTATTATATAATATAGTGGACAAACAATTTGATACATGATGTCCACATATCATTGTTGGAGATCTCAACCACGTACAAAAAATATTTTAATTCTTAAATATATATATATTTAATTATTTTAAATATATATATTTTATATATATATATAAATTTGTGTATAACTTAAAAATTCTAAAATAAGAATTTCATTAAATAGAAATTCAGGACGACGCATGACTTTGTACAGAAAAAAGCGGTGGATTCGACAAAACTCTGATCCAATCCCTTTCATCTCATATGCTATGATTTATTTACATTGTGCTTTTCGATTTTAAAAACGAATACTTCATTGAGAATACGATTGTGTAGTATGAAATTATAATTTCGAGAACAATAAATTAGTCCATATACATAAATCCATATATACAAATTGAAATGGCACAGCGATTGTGAAAAAAAAAACAACTAACCTCGTAATCAGGACCTCCGTGTATAACAACCCTAGGCCTCGGAGAGCCGTTATGATGCATGGCAATTTGATCTTTCAGAGCTTTATAAAGTTCTTGCAATTTTCGTTTCTTTTCAATTTCCTTCTCCCATCTACGGCGCCATGCATCCTCTCGCTGTACCATCAATTCGACGCAATGTTGTAAGGTTGCCAGCACCCCTTCACTGGTCGCTTTAAATGTTATCGCTTCCCCTTTGAAATCCACCGATTGTTCAGCTGGATTAAACATTGTCTCAATTACTTTTTCTGAAATTTATCGCAACAAAATTAATGAAATGTTAAGGTTTTTCCTATCTATTTCATATAATAATTATAATTATGTATTTAAAATTGCGCATTGTATATTTACATCATAAATTTACATTATAAATTTATTCTAAATATTTGAAACAAGAGACAGAAACATATGAAGAATTTACAAGTTAAAAGTTATTACCTTCCTTAGAAGTATTCTTGGCATTTTCTGCACAATTGTCGAAATACTTCTGCAGAGTATCGATCTGCTTGATTAGAATATCTCTAAACGTTTCAATTTCGGCCAACTTTTCCTTCAATCCTCTAATGCCACGTTTAGTAAGGCTACCGGCGCTGGTTGTCGATTGTGTATTTGATACGAGCGAAATGGCACTACCATGTCGTTTGAGACTATTCTCGCTTCCATAGCCGGATTCTGACTATTTGCGACAAATAAAAATTGCTAATCATCGAGCACAAATTTTTTCAGTGGAATTTTAATTTTTATTTACAAATATTGAAACAAAAATTTAATAAAAATACAAGTATATAAGTATGAAGTATATAATAAAAAAAGATTGCAATATTTAAGACAAGAGACTTTAGCACATAGTATTAAAATAATTGTATAATTTCTATTATTATAATATAACAAAAAATAAACTATTATCTGGAGACAAAATGTCTCGGTGCTATATCATTACCTTGTAAGATTTTAAGACATCTACCCATCGCTGCTTCTCTTCTGGATTATTTGCTCTTAAATACCAAACCAAACAATCGTTTACGGACACATCGAATCTACATTCGTCAAACTGATGTGCCTGTTAAACAGATAATTTAATGTAATGATTAATGTCATGACTGTTTGCGTCATTATGTTTGCAATGTTAAACATACATATTTGCTAAGACATATCTCATCTCGCATGACCTCTCACCTTGATATTAGCTTTATATAAACTAATCGAACCACGACATCCATATCCACTGTCCTGCTCGGATTTGTAATAAGACAAAGTACCATCTTTGAGTACAATAAATCTAGTTTGCCAGCCATGTATGTAATTTGTCCATTTGGATAGTGTACCCTGAAGTTCTGGAACTATGACCCCGTCGGAGTCATCATCATCGCCGTCGATCTCGGCGTCAACGATGCACTCGGTGTCCTCATTATTGAGGCCCCGTGGTGTTTCCACCAGCTCATCGGTCATTCTCAAAAGGTCTCGATTACGACAAATCACGATTTAGCGCTCGGCCGAGAGTGCACTTCCTGACATTGCCTGGAAGGCGAGTACGGAACTGCGAACTCGGAAAGGGCGTGCGTGAAGACAACGACTCCGGACTCTGGTGGATTCCGGTCCAGACGGGAAGTGGAGCAGAGACTCACGGACGGGACAAGTGAGACGGGTCAGCGAATTGTCACGACGAGACAAGACGTCTCAAAACATTGTCTTTGACAACCGTCGTACATAACCTATATGCCAAAATCTCTTATCAAGTGAAACGTCAATCGAGAAAGAAGTGCTGATATGACTGGTATACTACACAAGTACATACATACATGTACGCGTTAAGTATGACGAGTCGGGGGGAGGGGTAAGAAGGATGATATCAGTTTTATCATAAAGTCTTCAATCGTAGTTCATACATACCTTGTGCTGCGGAAAATAATACGCACTTTACACCACGAGGAAATGTCTCATGGTTCGGTTTAACGTTATTGGTCGCAATGTAGCCACTCACAGCTTACAGCAACCGTTGTGATTGGAATTTTTCCACTTAGCCCAACCAATCAGCAAGTTTTGTGTTGAATTAAATTGGTCACGTTCAGCAACTCAACTTGATGTATTCTCCTGGATCATCCAATAGCAGCGAGCGCTCATGCAACAGTTAAAGCGGACGGTGGAATCCATTGGAATCCATATTGGTAGAAACAGGCGAAACACGCCACTTAACCGCAGTTACCGCACATCGAATCACGTGACGCCATCTTGAAATTTCAAATGTGCACCGATAATGTGATAAAAATGGCGCCAACGCGCAGCGACTTTAGATTTCAAACACGCTGAAACAATCAGCTTTTTAGAATCATATAAATACATATGACACTGAAAATTTGAAAAAAAACTCCGGTTCGGAGATCTTTAGTAAATAATTAAATATTGCGCATCACTCTTTCGAGTTAAAATAATTTCTCTTTCGCGAACTACAGGATTTAATTTTCATTTGATATTTATATTTTTTTATTGCGAAATATAGGAGAATATGTTATGGTAATATAAATAAATTCATTCTCAGTAAAAAACTTTTGTTCAACCAGGGATGTATTCTCGACGGGTTAAATAATAAATATATACATTAATGTACTCTTTCTTGATACGATCTGGACATTCTTGGCGAACAAATAAAATGTAATTCTTTAAAAAAAAAAGCAAAAAATATCTTTTTAACAATAAAATTTAAATTGAGAAGACAAAATTTATGTATATGATTATTATTATTAGTATTAATTTATACAAATACTTTAATATTCTTATGCGGTAATGATTACTTCCCACATTGCACATTCGAGAAGTTCTACATACAAGGAGGGACAAATCAAGAGACTTATCACTCGCACTCGGTTCTCTCTGCTTTTCGATTTTCCGGAAACTATCATCTTATTGTTATCTTAGTTTTATGTTGAAAGATCTTATTCCTCTTATCGAGACATTAGTTATTACATTGCGTTTCGAAGAACTTTGAAATTTAGACTTTTGAATACCTACATCCCTCCTCGCGCTTGTAGGGCGAAGTAAAAGTTATAATGGTACGGTGAATCCTTGTTTTTTTTTTAAATAGCTTAGAAAATATGTAAGTTCGATTACGGCTAGGTGTGTCGCGGATATCTTTGATCGTTGCATGTATCTTTAAAATCTAGTTTAAATCAAAAGTAAAAAATCCGTCGCGTTCCTCCTTCTATTCCTCGACGTACATGTTTAATTCTGCTTAGTATGTACACGGCGGGATGGTACCGTCATCTCTTGGCACCGGAGTACTTAAATTAGGCTACCGTTTCTTTCTTTCTTTAGTCGATCATTGGGCGTAAAGGTATCTTAAGCATTAACAATACTTCGAAAAAGGTTCAGAGAGAGGATCGCGAACAGCAGCAAAGACATAGTACAGTTCTCTGATACTTTTCGTATCACCTCCTATGCGGTGCCTTCTATCGAACTGTGCGATTAGCGTCAGTAGAAATGTATAGCTGCGTTCAGCAGACAAAGCTCAGTGAGCGTTCAGAAGCTTTATTCTCGAAAAATATCGCGTAAGAAAATACCGTATAGTATATTTTCGTATGTGATATTATAATTTCAGAATATAGGCCCAGTTTTATTTATTTATCCAGATTCTTTTATTACGATTTTTATTTAAATCCAGTAAATAATTAAAAACAAGGATCAATCATATTTAAAAAATTATTGAACGCTTACTGAATTGCTTTATTTGTTGAATTGCATCTTTTGTATACTTGGGTGAATATACAATAGAATCAGAAAAGGAAAGGGAGCGTTCCGTTGTGACGCGCTTTTGAAAAATACTCTTAGACTAGGAAAAGGATATACGCTTTCGTCATCGAATTTATCATTGATAAATCAGTCGTCGATACGGTTAATACTTTCCTTATCGATTTCGTCATGAGAATAATATTTTTGGAATTTAAATAAAGTCTAGTCTTTGTCGTCGCATAAGTCAAGTTACCCTAAAGATTATTTTGGTGAAACGTGAAAAAATTCGTCTTTAACTTGAAACCAATACTACTATACATGATATTGTTACAATCTCTATGTCATATCAGATTCAAACAATGATTGAGGACATGGCGCTGCTAAATTATTTCCTGTACTGATAATACTCAGACAAAATCACATCCTTTTAGTCTTTACAGTCGCATCCCACATTGTCTTACTACAAAACAAAAATATTCTTTCTCAGAACTGAGCTACTTATAATTATTCTTAATTAATACCGCATAACAATTTTATATCAGTTACGTAACACACAATCGTGTCTTTTGTACATACAAACATGTATATACGTATACATTTAAATATATAAATATATACATATATGAATGTATATATGTATATACATGTATATATGAAATGCTTTGCAAATTGCTAATAGACGGTATTTGAAAAATAAAATATTACAATTATGATCCAATTTTAGATCAGATTTCATAGACTACAACTAAGAATGAAGCTAATACTCAATTAATTATACCTCGAGATGTCCATTTGATTTTCTAAATCTCCTCGATCTGTTGTTTCCGCTCGTTCAATCTTCCACGAGAGATTCTCTATTTCTGCTTCTAATTGAGCTTGTTGATATTCGAACTGTTAGCAAAACAATTCAATATCCATTTATATTATCATATGTATATTTTGTTGTTGAATATTATTATCTTTTGTCATTATTATCGCGAGATCTTACCAGTTCTTTACGCGGACCAGATTCCATGTAATAGGCATATGGGTACGTGTACTGTAAAGTATAACGACAACGCGCTAAAAGCGACGCCGCCTCAAATAGATGTTGCCAATCTATCCATGTACCACTAGCTTTCATCACTTTATTATTAATTCTCATCTTAATCCCCTCTAACGTTTGCTCCTCCAACTTTAATGATTTGCTATGATTCTCCCACTAAAAACAGCACAAAGTGTAGCGAATAAAACATAAAAAATAAAGCAAAAATTATAATCCAATGGCTACATCATTATCAAGTGAAACTTACTCGCTCATAATAGTGAAGGTACTTTTTAAGAGCTTCTCTCGCTTGTGCGTGAACGCTCTCATGTGCAATATTTGGATTCTCCTTGTAACGCGAACATTCGTAATATTCGCTACCATGTGCTTTCCAATCTCCAAGGCACATCCAGCAGAAATCATGCTTACAATTGTAACATTGCATGTGATTGCAACCACCGTTCTTCTCTATGCAGATATGACATTTTGGACACTGCAAAAACATTTTACGATACATTAAGCGTTTCCTGTTGTACTTTAGAAACAATTCTACAAACAATAAGAAATAATCACATCTTTGGTATGAGCACTAATGTAATTCGCCGTCTCCGAATCATCCGCACATTTCGTTAACCATTTTTTAATTGTACTGCAATCGGTAGGTGCATGGTAATCCATACCACATCGGAAGCTGGAATTTGCAACAGTATTCTCTCATTGTCAGTCTTGTAACATAAAATACTCGTCATATATAACACGTATCCACGACTATTTACCAGAATACAGTTTTACACGATGAACATTTGACTCTCTTTGCGCGTTGTTCCTTAGAGCGCAAAACAATTTGGCAATTTGGACCAGGGCAAAATCGAAGTTGTGGATGAGACTTGACATAATCACAGAAGGCAAACTGCTGATACCTTTCTCTCATGTTAGGCTTAGTAAGTAGGGAAAGGACAAAGTCCTCTGGAGCTAGAACATCGCAATCTTGTGCCATGCAGCTTATACCTAAGGTAAGACAAATATCAGAGATAGATTTTTGACAAAAATTACCGAAACAAGTACAACTACAACTGTGTGAAGGAATACTACTTACCAGTGGATATACCTTGAGTTATTTGTACTTCAAAATGCATACACCAACAGTCTTTGCAAAAAGAATGTCCACACGTGAGTGTAGCAAATTTGTCTGCGGGACAAACCATGACGCAAACCAAACACACGCTGCCCCGCTGACTCTTTGTTCCTGGCACTTGTTCCGGGGTAGGCTTAATCTTTGAATTTATTAATAAAGTGGAAGCATTGGTACGATACTTGGTGGCAATATCCTGTGACGCCCAGTTGTGTGCGTGCAGTAATACTTTGGCTAGGGATGGCGTGACATGAAGGCTAGTACTTAACACCTCTACGCTCTCATTCAGAAGCCGTTCCACTTGTTCGACTCGTAAACAATCGTACACTGCATACTCAGGATCTCTCCTGTTTTGCTCCGGGTCTACGTCGTTATCCACGTCGCCTCCCCATGGCTGGATGTTATAATAGTCCTCATAGCCCGGATCTCCGCAGTCAGAGTCCGAGCAATCCATCTCGCTGTCATTCTCGCTCGACATCTGCATAGAAAACATTCTACACGTTAGCAGACGATCAAACGCCGTGAATGTTACACGGATATCATGACGCGGAGATGAATGTCAAAGGAGAGCAGGAGAGCACTTTTCGGCATAACCTTTGCAACCGTGAAAGTTCAAGCGTATTCCGAGCTCCGCAATCGCGAGAAACGGCTTGGATGAATTTGGACGAGACACGAGAGGGAGTGAATTATCAAGCACGAGAGTCGCTTTGAAGCATTCGGGAACGGAACAGAACGGAGTCTCTTGACAGTCTTTCACGCGAAATGAAAACGATTTTTTCACGCGTTATGACGAACTCGTCGAGAGTGTTTCGAGCACGCGTCGAGACATCGAGACGTCGAGGCATCGAGGAGAGAGAACTTTCGTGAATTTACAATTCGCGTTCTTTTTTTTCGTAACCGTCTGTCTGGAAGTCTGCCCTCGAGCTTTCTCTCTCTCTCTCTCTCTCTCTCTCTCTCTCTCTCTTTCTCGCGTGCTCTCTCACGCGCTGCTTCGACAAATGGCAATACCGTCGCATGGATGCGTTAGAGTGAGGGTGCGTTGCGACGGTGAGTCGCGTTTCGAGTGATCGACAGGGAAGGGAAGGAGAGTCGAGGGAGCAATGTTTCTTTTTTTTCTACAGGGAGAGAGAGAGAGAGAGATAGAGAGAGAGAGAGAGAAACCTACCTTCTCGGTCGGCTGCGCCCGCCCGGTTATCAAGAGAGATGCATTTATGCGACCGTTTCCGCGTGCGAATTGATCCGTGCGCGGCCGTGGAAAGGAGGCTTCCTGAACGAATTATTCTCAATCGGCCGAGAGAGAGAGTACGAACTGTCGTAAGCGGGCGGACAGCGGACACACGAGCAGTACACGAGCACGCGACGCGAGCGAGAGCGTATCGCGTCTCCCTCTCCCTTTTCTCTTCCGACGATCACATCACCCCCTTCTTCATGCGCGCGCGTATGTGGGAATGTGAAATCGTGTACATGCACATAGTCAGCGACTCGCGTAGTTGTAACAGATGATCCTTATTTAACTGCATAGCAGATAAGAACGTCAAAAGTCACCTGACACGAAACAGCTGAGCACGATCATACGATGGCCGAAGATGAAGAATCGTTCCATCTCCTCCGCTCGTTTTATTATATACGTTATAATTTGAGGAGATTGAGAGAGAGAGAGATGGAGAAAACAAACCGCTCGGGGAACGATTAATGACGTCACTGCACAGCTTTGCCTTGGGTTAATTCCTAGTATAATAGGATTCTCAGTATAGCTCGCTTCTTCGAAGTGCTTAGGCAAATGCGACTAATATATACTTGCGATAAGCGCGATTCAACCGTGTGATGCTACGTGTTAACTAAAGGTCAAATGTTTATTATTTGTTGATCAATTATTTCAAATTCTTCGTCAAAATCTACAATTTTTGAAACGAAATCATTTGTCCTATTAAAAGTTCTCGATTAGAAAATCACTTAATTTATAGATTCTCCTGTATTCTCGATTATTTTAACACCTGTTGTTCTTTGCTTGAGATTCAAATAAAACAATTTTGTCGCAACAAAGGACAACTAGTCCAATTAAAATTGATTATAAAATCAATCACTGAGAAACGTGAAATTGATTAGCGTGGCGCGTTGAAACCGTACAATTTTTAAATTTTCGCAGTTATCGACCGAGATCGGATGGCGCGACCTGCATTATCGATAATTTTGTACGATTGATCTGACTTATCGTCAGACAGATGGAGACATCGACGAGGTTCGTAAGGTTCGTTGCCTCGCTTCTCGCGCCCATTCCTCTTTGTCTCCTTACTTTCCGCTCCTTAGTCCTTTCTTTCCCACTGTTTCCCTCTCCACACTCCACACTGTTCGCGAAGCAGATCGCGAAGCGAAGGCGAACCTGGCGAACCTGGCGAACCATTGGCCGCCTCGCCCACTTCATCCCATTCCCTCCAGCCCCTCCCGACAGTCCCGACCACTCCCGACTTCCGACGACGTCTTTTCGGCTCGCGTCGGCCGCGTCGCTGCGCGCCGCGCCGCGCCGAACAACTTGAAAACTCTCGCGTCCATCGCGCAACGCGATGCGACTTCGTAGTTGGTTGAAATACGCGGAACTGTCAATCGCGACTCGCGAGTCTTCCTTTCCGTCGCGAACGTCACGATCGGCGCGAGTACGCGCCGCGGATCGCGTACGATTTCTCAGTTCCCGGTATCGCGCCTCCAAGAGACGCGCGAGATCGACGATCGCCGATCGCCGATAAAAGTATCTACGATCATGCCCCAATCGCACACGCGCGGTACCGAATGACGACGACTTGATTCCGCTTGACTTGACTCGACGGACGTAGTCCGTACCGAACAGTACCGAACGCCTCGTACAGCGTACTTTATACGTGCTGGTGCGCACACCCAGTGAAACGCAAGTGTACGTGTTTATAAAGAAAAGACGCCGCTCCTTTTCTTCTTTTTCCTCTTCCTTCCTTCCTTCCTTTCTTTCTTTCTTTCTTACGCGCGCATTCTCTACATGTACATGCCGGTCGTTGGTACGTTCCACGAGATATAAGTATACAATAAAGAAAATTTGCGTTACGATCCCAAGGTTCTAGTTGGTACCGGAAGTGCTGCGAGTGTCGAAAAGTGCCGGAAGTGCCGACCGATTCCACCAAGCCATCACGCGACATTTCTGAACGTAAATCGCAACGTACGGAGGTGCGTACTTTGCAATTCTTGGATACCTGACATTTTTTTTATTTATTTACCTTCTTTTACGACGTTTTAATCGCGTCTTTATTTTTACGCGAGACGTTTGATTGCAATGTGTATGAATAGAGAGAAGTGGAAGTACGTTTGTCTAAAACGAAAACATTTTTTAATTCCAAGGAGCATATATCGGATTGAAACAGTTTTCAATAAAAACCGAAAGATTTTTAATTTTATAAAATTTTTATAAAATGTTATAAATTGTGAAACTATAATATAACGTTTTATTTGTAGAAAACGTTGTTTGTGAAATTCGAATTTCACAAAGAGGATACATTTATTAATCTGTTGCTTACATTAATCAAGTTTTAATGGAAACAATATCGAGGAATGTCGAGTAACAAGAAAAACGGAGTAGAAATGCAACCGAATGAGAATTGTAATTATTTTGTCATCTTCTTCACGCTGTCTTTATAGTTACCCAACTAGGAAACAAATTTTAATAAGTAATAATTTATTATTATTATTATTATTATTATTATTATTATTATTATTATTATTATTATTATTATACAAATGTTGAATCATAATATGAAAATTTTTCAAAGCTCATTGTGCCATAAAATTATTGACTCGACAATTATTTATTTTTTACAGTAATTTCAATAAAAAAAGGATTGTTATTGTTAGCCATCGCTGTCTCTCGCGTCGTTCTCTTTTCAATTGCGAGGCCGGAAGTATGCGTCAGAAAATACTTTTTCAGTGAAAGAGTCACGCGTGTTTTTACACGCGATGCAAATCACACGCTAATTAGACGACGTCGTCGGAATGCCGGATTGCGAAAGGGAAGGCGAGTCAAGTGGAAAAAAAACATCTAACTATATTTTTCATCTACAAGAACATTTCATATCACCGGAATATCTACGAGATAAATAATGACCCTCGGGTGTTGCGAGAATTTCTATGCTAATATACCGATCGTTAGACGGCGGTAGTCAACACGACACTTGAAGAAAAGCAAAAAAGGAACGAAGAAAGAAAGAGAAAGAAAGGGAAACTTCGTTTACTCGTCGTATTTATATTTACGTGAATATTTTACTGATGTTTATTAAAAAAAAAGAAGAAAAAGATCGACGTGTAATATATACTTCCGAATGCACCGTTGGATTATTCATGTCGATTTCTACTAATGTAAATTAATCTCGTTTAACTTATTTTGTATGTTTTCTTACTTATGTCTATGTGTTTATCAATATAGATTAACTATAATCTCGATTTAATTTACTCTTTATCTTCCTACTTCTTACCAGTCTATTTCTACTAATATAGATTTCAATTTAAATTTCGATTTAATACGTATACTTTTTTCCTAAAATTAAAAAAGGATAATAAATAAATCGAGATTAAAGTTAATCTAAATTAAAATGGACACGAGTATCTTAACTGTGTATCGAGAGTATAATATATGCCGATTTCTTTTTCTTCTTTTTTTTTTTAAGAGCCCAAGACATCGATCACATTAGCAAACGTTCGGCAAAGCTTCTTCCTTCCTTCCTTCCTGTTTGCTCTTATCAGAAAAAAGCCGCGATGCCGTCCCCGTTAATCGTTTAATCGGGCCAAAGGGTTCATCAGCTTCTATTATCTCTCCTATATCAAGCGCGATTGCGAGAGAGATTCTGGATTCGAAACCAGTTCCATTCGACGCGACTACGCAAAGCCCGTACGTCTCCGCTCCTCACCGAGTTCAATGGCACTCGCACCACACTTGGGCCACATTGTGTGTACGGGCATTTTTCTCAAGCGACGGCTCGTATACACGCGAGGACAAAAGGTGTACTTGAATCCCCGCCCGTCTCTCGTTGCGAGACGCCACGTGTCTCTCGATTCTCGAACGGCGAATGTCGGTTCACTTATACCGCTATACGTTTCGAGAGACTCCTCCGCAACTACCCGCGTAATAGGAGCCGCCTCCTCTCGAGAGACTCGAGAGCATATTTCATACAAATGCGAGATATTTTCTATTTATTTTATTTATCTGTATCTACTTTTTTCCATAGTCTCTCCTTCCTCATCAATAAGATGCGCGCGACTTCAAGTTACTGACGCGCAATCAGAACGATCGAGTGTCTGATACATATTATCACGCCGAAGCGCCGAGACTTATGCCCATTACAGATCGTTCACCATTCAAGCGGTAACTATAAAGTATAACGGTGAACACCGTCCGGCCGATCACCGCTATTTATGACAGTTTCATATTCTCCAACTGTCGTTGGAATAACATCCACGCGGAAAATCGTAGAATCTTAAACGCGATAGCAGAGCCTCTCTTGAAAGCTTCTCGTGGATATTCATTCCTATCCATCAGACTTTTTATCGATCGAATTTTTTATTCGTATATATAATATTATATTAATATTAATGTAAAACGTCTAGGTGTGATAAGGAATGCGGAGGGACAGAATCCGTGATCTTTGCACTTTTGACATTTTTACTTGATTGAGTTGCAGTTTATTGCGCTGGTACCTTATAATATATAATACTATTCATAAAGCACATTGCAGCTTATGTTAATTCAAAGCGAATTGAAAGCGACAGGAAGAACGTTTGTATGTATTTTCAGAATGAGCGTTAACCCAAACGCGCCGAGTACGAGTGGATAAACGCAAGAGTCAGCGCAGGTATATACAAAATCGAATCCTTGGCCAAGGAAGGAGGGAAGCGATGGTGGTAGAGTGGCTATGCCCTGGACTCAGGCCGACCAGGAGCAACAGGCCCCGTCTTTTGCATTGCAAGGTGATTCTTCTGGACGAGCACGAATTACTGCAGGATATCCTGGTAAGTTCGGGTCTCGATCATCTTCGACCTCGATCAACTTTTTCCAACTTTTCTAGCTATTATTGACCGTCCTTTCCTCATCACTGATTCTCTTTAGAGACGCAGGACGACTGCCGGTCGCGTGCGTGCGCGCGATATCGTCCTCATCGAGAGTACGATTCAGCATATTCGCGAGCTGTTGGTACGGATGAAGGTATGCGGCGTAATCCTTTTACCCTATCCCGTAATTCGTGCGCGTAGCCAAGTTGTAATTTAGTGAATTAATAGCACATTTTCTTTCCCAGTCCGTTTCTGGATGGTTGTTTCGGTGCCCTCGGACTACTCGTGCCCGCCGGCACCGTGCCACGGTGGGTTATGCCCGGTTATGGCCGACTGTCGGCGGCTCCGCGCACGAGAAGAGGCGCGTACATATCTCAGGGGGGTATACCCGGAATTCCTTCGGTCTTCTCTGTTATTAGACGATATGCCAAAATTGGCGGTGGGCCACCGTGGGCCACGACGGCCACGACGGTGGTAACGCCATACCTCCTCCGCATCGCCGACCGCCGACGGCCGACAGCCGTGCCGCACACTAATTCTCGCGTCTTTTCAACCTACCCGTTTCCCTTTCCCCCTTCTTTCTTTTTTCTTCCTCTCGAAATCTCTCTCTCTCTCTCTCTCTCTTCCTTTCTTTCTCTTTTCCTCTTATCCTCTCGCCGCTTCCCTTTCACCATCTAGCTCATTTTGTCGATTAACATTCCGGACCTGTATAAGCACGAATCTTTCATTGTGTGTATCGCATATACGTGTAACGCCCGTAAGGCCGAACGCAAATCGAAATTCAGTAGGGCGTGTTAAAAACGAGAAGATTTTGTTCCTCGAGAAGGGATATCGAACGTTGAGTTGATCCCCAATGATTATGCCGGATAGCGAATAGTATCCATCATATTCGTGAATTTTTTAGGCAAATACACTCAACACACATACACAAAGCAATGATATACGTTCAAGAAGAAACGACTACGATAGAAACTGCCGTTTCAAGAAATATCGAAGGAAACATATATTAGAAACGATGATCCAATCGTCAATATCCTGGTGTAATCAAATGATGCATGAAAGTAGAAAAAAAGGTCGTTACAAAATGTCGAAGATGCAACCGAGAAATACGAAGGGGGAAACGATCATTGATAAGTGCGATATGCATAGGTGGTATCACGCGCTATCGTTACACCGGTATCCAAATCCGTATATCTTTCCGGTTTTATACCGTCAGTCGTAGAACCAGTCTCCCCGTAATTGCGGCATAATAGCGCGAAAGAATGACCATACGTCAAGATAGTGCGACCAGATAAACGTGTGTAACTTTTTTTTCTTCTTTTTCTTTCCAGCAGAATCAGATACCCCGCGTCGTTCCATCGTCGCGGTAGCAATTTCAATGGAATTAGCATAAGGCATCAAAATTCTGCGAGATACGGAGAACGGTTCCCCGAG